GGGGTAAGGGGGAAGGCATTGAGGGAGACTCGGGCAGTGGAGTTAGAAATTGACCAAGCCAACAGAAAAATGAGGGAGGGTGTTCCTAGGAGGGAGGTAGGCAAGAGAGAAATAAATCAGATCAACAAACAAAGAGCCAGCTTATCCCAGAAGAATCGCCTCCATTGGGGGGATTATGTCGTTAGGGAGCTCGGCACAGAAAGACAGATCTTTATGAAGCCATCAGAGTCAGAGTGAAGCAAGAGCCTGGTTTTCATTATCACCGAATGGTTCTCTGCCCGCTGGATGGGATGTGGAATTGAGATGTGGAGGCTCTGTCGAAAGAGAATCTTCTTTTGTGCACCCTGGAAATGCAGCCTCCCTCCTTACAAGGAATTTCTCAGAGAAATTGCCCAGAGGCCACTCAAGGAGCCATTCTTATAGAACCACTGTCTTCCACACTCAGTCTGGGACTTGGCTGTTTCGCTTGCCATTTCTCATGCTACCTCAAGACCAGCTGGCTAGAATCGCCAGCTTTGTTTAAGACTAGCAGCTGACCCAGGTGAGGAAGTTCTGCTGGTAGCTTTTTTGCCCAGGGCATCCTTAGCAGAACGAACTGGTCGTCTTGAGCCTCAACCGATAACAACTGTGTTATTATTTTGTACACACACACACACACACACACACACACAAAGAGAATAAATGGTTTAAAAAACATGACTCATGGACCCTCCATTTATATAGGTTCCTAAGTGCTAAAGGCTTCAAAAATATGATCTCTTTTACCTGTTGAGGTGGGTAAAAGTATTGCTACCATTTTATAGATGGGACCTTGAGGCTGGGAAAGGGAAGGTTTTGCAGCTGGGGGAAGGCGTGGCTGGCGTTTGGAGAGTCACGTGGCTGTGTCACAGGTCACACCATTCCTGACAAGTGAAGCTGTGTCTTTACTGGATGCAAACCTCAAAACTCGCCCATAAATGATCTTGTGAAATTATGGGAAGTTAAGGCTAAAGGGATGAGAAGCCTCTTTTCATCCTAAGTCATGCTTGCTTCAAGTTTATAAAACATCTTCTAGAAAACAGGGATAATTTCATCGTTCTTGCCTAATAGTGTGTATGTACTCATCACAGATTATAGAGATCTAGGGTAATACAATGCCCATTTTTTAACATGTGCGAAGCGTCAGGCACTCAAACCCGTCATGTCTTGTCCCACACCCTTCCTGGAAAGGATTTACTAGCTTCAGGTCGCAGAAACTTAGAGAAGGTAAGTGACTTCCTTAGGTCATACAGCAAATTCATGGCCCCGTTACGATTTCATGCTGGTTCTCCTGATTCTGAAGCACGTGCTTTTGAAATATACTATTGTGCTTCAACGTATTAATTCATATAATACGTAGAGTGACCTTGTGAAGCAAGAGCCAGGGAATGGGTCCTGTCTGTGTGCTCGATTGCTCTGCTATCCTGATGCCTGTTGGTGATAGCCCAAGTGTGGTCCTTGCCACAGGCGAGGTGCCCAGGAAGTGGCCATTGGCTCAGGCCAGGAGACTTTCTCTGCCGGCTTTGCTCTGCTGAGGGCTGACTCTGTGGGGCCCTGTCTCACAAGTCTCTGACAAGGGCACCTGTCTCACACCTGTCACCCTTGATGTGCACTCCAGGTCACAGAGACACGCACTGGGCCTCTGGGCTGTAACAGCTATGACAATCTGGACTCTGTGAGTTCCGTCCTTCTGCAAAGCACGGAGAGCAAACTGCACCTTCAAGGTAGGATGCCCGTGGGAATCGGAGACCAGAGAGGGGGAGGGGGGGAGCCTTGGGATTTTGAGGAGGCATGATGTGGAGGCAGAATAAAGACAAAGATGCAAGATGGAGAAACCAAGGAAGACTACAAATATGGAACTTAGGACAGTTAGGACATGATGCCTTTTAAAAATGTTAACATATACAGGACATTAAATTCATGGTTATTAATTAGTTTTCAGATACAAAGTTTGAAAATGGGAGCTTTATCTGATTATTTCGATGAAAATGTCTAAACAGTGTTATTTATAGATGCTCCAGACCTAATATATATTAAAGTTTCATATCTTGCTGTCTGAATTTCCTAGATTATTGTGTTTGATTTTCAATGTATTTTGGCAGGTGTTATTTGAATTCCAAGAGCTATAGAGCATTTTATAGAATTTTTGGTTCTACGTAATCTTCTTTCTCCTTAATCATTCGTCATCTGTAGTCTTTAATATATGTATACACACATACATATGTGTTTGTGTGTGTGTGTGTGTGTGTGTGTGTGTGTGCTTTCAGCAGAGTTTATAAATGAGAACACTCAATGCTGACAGGGTGTTCAGAGACAGACACTCAGGCACTGCTAGTTAAGAATGCAACAATTAAGGGGCGCCTGGGTGGCTCAGTCGGTTGAGCGTCCGACTTCAGCTCAGGTCACGATCTCGCGGTCCGTGAGTTCGGGCCCCGCGTCGGGCTCTGGGCTGATGGCTCAGAGCCTGGAGCCTGCTTCCGATTCTGTGTCTCCCTCTCTCTCTGCCCCTGCCCCATTCATGCTCTGTCTCTCTCTGTCTCAAAAATAAATAAAACATTAAAAAAAAAATTTAAAAAAAAGAATGCAACAATTATGGGATTACTTCGCTGATATCTTTCAACATGTGTATTTGTTTAGTGTCTGTTTTATGTCAGGTCTATGTTAGGGGCTCCAGATATACTTATGACCTTAAGGAAAACATACCCTTTAAAATAGTAATTTTACCCTTGTTAATTCATCATGAACAGGTGAGGACATTATAAGGAAAAATTACAAGGCTTTGAGTACAGATAGTGCTGTTTTAAAAAGCATAATTTATAATGGGAAAAAAAAAGTAAAAATCTCAATTTTCCACATGAGAGGACTAGGCAAATTATGTAGTATCCACACAACATAATATTAGGCAGGTACTAAAATGTTGTTTATGAGAATTTCCAAGAATGTATGAAAGCGATCTGATATAGTGTTAATTTAAAAATGGGTAGAGTCTGACTGAATGTGCGGCATGATCTTAACAATGCGAAAGGGTAAGGAAAAATAATATTGCAAGGGAATATGCCAAGATGTTAAAAGAGGTTACCTCTGGATGGTTAGGTTGCAGATGATTTATTTTAGGCTTCCCAGTTCTTTTTCTAACTTTTCCACAACGATCATGTATTAACTTTATAGTTAGGGGAAAAAAAATGGCATGCTTTAACTTTGAGCAGACTAAAAATGTGACCTTCTAGAAAGGTGTCTGATAAAGGTGACTCTGAATGTCAGTGGGAGGAAAGCAGAGCTGAGATTTGCAGGTGGAGCTAAGCAGAGCCTAATATGACTTTTATATTCCAGTTCCTTGGCAATCCTTTGATTCATGCTCCTGTTACAGAAGATGGTTGGAAGATGGCACAGGGAGGGCTTGGTAGAGTCACTTGGGAGCACTGAATGGAAAACCCCTCCGGGAATTGCAGGCCAAGAAAGTGGTTTAGTGTTAAAAGAAAACACAACAAAACCAAACCTCAGACACACAGAGAATAACCCTACCTCCTTTAGTAGAGAAAAGAGTGGATTAGTAGGTTTGGTAATAACCTGATAAGAAAGTACATAAGACAGATCTGCCTTGGGCGTGCCCGGATGATCAACTTATTAAAGTTCCTGTGATACCTCCTGGTGACCTTGTGAAGTGAGAGAAGTGTTGGAGTCCAGGAAGCTTGGCTCCAGCCTGCATTTGATAACCCTGCTGTGCATGTTGGCAGTGGAGAGACCTGTGAGTTATAATTGGAGTAAATTTAGAAGGGATTAACAAGATGTTAGTTACCAGGAAGGTATTAAGATCTTAGGGCCAGTAAGAGGCTGATTTCCCATGAAGCTAATGAAGCTTAAGGTCCAGGGCTCCCTCACCATGTAGGTCCCCGAATTTTCTCATTCTAAATACTGACTTTCACACCTCATGTTGAATTCCTTTTCTCAACGAGCAGTTATGGTATAAGCTTCAGTCCTCCAAAATGCAGGTCTACCGTTGGTTACATGATTATAAGTACATTATCCACCAAAAAGGAGGTGACATCCTTGTCTTATTCTAGATTGGTCAGAACACATCTGGAAGGTTAGGGCCAGGTCTGGGCATCACACTTCAAGAGGGACACTAAGAAACTACAGTGTTCCTAAAGAACGGTGTCTTATGAGGAACAGCTGAAGAGAGTTGACTTGGGGCAAAAGGACTGTCTACAGATACCTAAAGGGCTGTCTTACAGAAAAGCTAGTCAAATTCATTAATGTGGATAAAATGAGCCTAGACCTGATGCACTTGCAGAAGACAATAAAGATCCCAGCTTTCTTTTAAGAATCTGTGTTGGGTCAAAGTGGGCATCAGGATGTAGTGGGAAACAGTTTGTGTCCCAAGGAAATATATACCCTATCAGAGAAGATGGGCTTAAACAAACAAAAAGATGCATAAGGAATTGTAGTGGAGAAAAATAGGAGGGCTTCATGGTACCAAATGGTATGGGGACTTAACCTATCAGGGGATTGGAGAAGATGGATAGGATAGGACCTGGAGGATGACGAAGAGGTCAGGGTCATGGATATGGAGGCAGACAATGAGTATCTATGAAGGAGCATTTGAGGAAATGAAAATGTCGTAAGAGATTAAAGCAGAGACATCAGTGGTGAGAAAGATGAAATAATCCTTCGGATCCTGGAAGGCCTGTGCAGCACATTAATGACTCGAACATTAATTTGAGGGTCATGGGCACCATGGAAAGGTTTTTAAAAAGGAAGTAGCATGAGGAGATTGATGTTTTGGAAGATCACTCTGGCTGTCATGTGTCCAATTAATTAGATCGGGGTAGATTGGGGGTGGATGACCCATTAGGGGCTATTGCAGTACTGAAGATGAGAGGTCACAGATTCAGACCATGAAGGTAGCAGTTGAGGTTGAAAAAAACAGACCACTTTTAGAGTTAATTAGCTGGCGTCAACCACTTTTAGAGTTATTTAGCTGGCATCATGACCAGAATTTAGTGAGACGACCATGAAGAATTTAGATAATCTGGTGAATGGAGTATGGGGATGAGATAGAGAGGAAGGGCAGGGAAATACATAAGATTCAAGGCAATATATAATATAATAGAGATAATGAAAGTAATGCATACCATTATGGAGATTCAGAAAAGGGAGTAATTCATTTGGCCTGTCTAGGTAGAGGAGTCATAAGAAAAAAATATCTAAGGAAGAATATTATTCTCTTGGTGGAAGGTAAAACAAAAAAACTTCTTCAATATAAGACAGAAGACTGTCTCATGATTCTTGGATAGGCTGATATTTATTCAGTAGGATACAACAAGCAGTAGGTATAAAGAAAAGGATTTATACATTGAACCACATTAAAATTAAGAATTTCCAGGGGCACCTGGTGGCTCAGTCAGTTGAGCATCCAACTCTCGATTTTAGCTCAGGTCATGATTCCAGGATCATGAGATCAAGCCCTGCATCAGGCTCCATGCTTAGCATGGAGCCTGCTTAAGATTCTCTCTCTGTCTCTCTCTCCTCTCTCCTCTCTCCTCTCTCCTCTCTTCTCTCTCTCCTCCTCTGCCCCATCCCCCACTCTCTCCCTCTCTCTCAATTAAAAAAAAAAGAATTTCTGTTCATCAGATGCTGCTATTGATAGAATGAAAATACAAGCTGCAGAGTAGAAGGAAAGATTTTTGATACATGAATCTGACAAAAAAAACAAAAAACAAAAAACAAAAAACCCTGTGCAAAATATATCAGTAACTCCTAAAAACAACAAGAAAAAGGCAGACTGTCCAGTAAGACAAGAAAATGGGTAAAAGACATGAACAGGCACTTCACAAACAAGAATATCAACATGGCAGATAAACATTTGAAAAGGTGATTAACTTTTCTAGCCCTCATAAAATGTAAATTAAAGCCACAATTTAGTATGCTAACCCCACAATCTGTCTGGTTCAAAGGAAAAACACTGACAACATCAAGGAGTGACGATGTGGAACAATGGAAACTTACATGGAAACTTACTTATAACATCTCCTGCATTGCTTGTGGGAGAATAAATCAGTACAACCACTTTGGAAAACTCTTTTGGCAGTATCTACAAAAAAACTCAGTATGTCCTGGCCCTGTGACCCAGAAATTATAATTCTTGGGAATATGCACAACAGAAATGCCATCTATGTTCACCAAAGGACATGGCTGTTTATAGCAGCTTTATTCAAAATAGCCTACAAATGGAAATAGCCCCAATTGCCCATCAACAAGAAAATGGATAAATACATTGTCATGCATTCATATGACAGGCTACAATGCAGAAATGGGGGAAAATAAACTATTCTTTTCTGCAACAGTATGGAAGAATCTCATGAACATAACATTAAGTAAAAGAAGCTGGACACAAAAGAATATGCGCTATTTGATTCCATTTCTATACTGGTCAAAAATAGCCAAAAAAAAAAAAAATGTGTTGCTTTTGTAGCTCAGAGAGCATTAACCTTCGGGGAGGGAGAATAAGGGACTGACAGGAGATGGGAGAGGTTTCTGGAGGTATCTATGATGTTCTGTTTCTTGATCTGGATGGGAGCACATGGGTGTGTTTACTTTGTGAAAATTCATAGCACTGTACGCACGTGATTTATATGTATACATTTCTGTGTGTATAATGTGCATCTATGAAAAATTTATTTAATAATGTGCTCCATCTTGACATCGTCTGCAAAGAGAAGACATG